AATATATTGTATTATGAGGATATCACAGAGTAATATATTGTATTGTGAGTGTATCACACAGTAATATATTGTATTATGAGGATATCACACAGTAATATATTGTGAGTATATCACACAGTAATATATTGTATTATGAGGATATCACACAGTAATATATTGGATTGTGGGGATATCACACAGTAATATATTGTATTATGAGGATATTACACAGTAATATATTGTATTGTGAGTATATCACACAGTAATATATTGTATTATGAGGATATTACACAGTAATATATTGTATTGTGAGGATATCACACAGTAATATATTGTATTATGAGGATATCACACAGTAATATATTGGATTGTGGGGATATCACACAGTAATATATTGTATTATGAGGATATTACACAGTAATATATTGGATTGTGGGGATATCAAACAGTAATATATTGTATTATGAGGATATTACACAGTAATATATTGTATTGTGAGGATATTACACAGTAATATGTTGTATTATGAGGAAATTACACAGTAATATATTGGATTGTGGGGATATCACACAGTAATATATTGTATTATGAGGATATCACACAGTAATATATTGTATTGTGAGTATATTACTCGACATGTGGTGTTTATTTGTAAAACCTTCTGAAATATATATAAAACAAAGGGGACTGCAATAGTACTGGTATATACTTGATTTTTTTTCAATTACAGATTACTGATTATATACAGGCAGTTGATAATTCCATATCATGTACAATGAAATGAAATTGTATTCTACAAAAGGGTTTTGTCAAGACAGTGAAATTAGTCTATTCCTTTCAGTTTCCAAGTGCTAAGGATCTTGAAGATACAGCAGGACCTCACAGTTTGTACTGATATTATTGCACCAAGAAACAAAGGTATTTAGGGAAATTCAAGAAGGCTTGTCAAAACTGAAAAACTGTTTGGTGTAATTCTATGCTTCAGTTGTTGACTAAAATTATCAACTGAACACGAGTTACCCCAAACAGATAATAAACACCAGAAGGTGAATATTTGAACACTTGAAGAGCATACCAAGCACCAGTATGTTAAATATTAGAAGGCTTGAAGAGCATACCAAGCGCCTGTATGTTAAATATTAGAAGACTTGAAGAGCATACCAAGCACCTGTATGTTAATTATTAGAAGGCTTGAAGAGCATACCAAGCGCCTGTATGTTAAATATTATAAGACTTGAAGAGCATACCAAGCACCTGTATGTTAAACATTAGAAGGCTTGAAGAGCATACCAAGCACCTGTATGTTAAATATTTGAAGACTTGAAGAGCATACCAAGCACCTGTATGTTAAATATTAGAAGACTTGAAGAGCATACCAAGCACCAGAAGGCTTGAAGAGCATACCAAGCACCAGTGAACTAAATGTTTGAAGACTTTAAAAGCATACCAAGCACCAGAAGGATAAATATTTGAAGACTTGAAGAGCATACCAAGCACCAGTGAACTAAATGTTTGAAGACTTTAAAAGCATACCAAGCACCAGAAGGATAAATATTTGAAGACTTGAAGGGCATACCAAGCGCCAGAAGGCTTGAAGAGCATACCACGCACCAGAAGGCTAAATATTTGAAGACTTGAAGGGCATACCAAGCGCCAGAAGGCTTGAAGAGCATACCACGCACCAGAAGGCTAAATATTTGAAGACTTGAAGAGCATACCAAGCACCAGAAGGCTTAGAGAGCATACCAAGCACCAGAAGGCTTGAAGAGCATACCAAGTACCAGTCTAATATTCCAAGAATTGAAGAGCATAGGAAGACGACTAGCAATAATGAGTCAAGTATTTGAAGACTTAAAGCACGTACCAAGCACCAGTTGAAGAAGGAAGATGGAAAGAACTATCACTAAATTCATGCATTTTCTTTTTCAGTATTTGTAATGCAGTTGGGAATACTGCAAAGTTAAAGACTCCATGCCATGGTGAAATTGGAATGACAAGCTAAAAGCTTTTTCTAATTGAATGAATCAAAACTTCAAAACTAACTCCATGAAACAACTCACACCTTCCTGAACATTTCAGAATCTCATGTTGATTCCTATTGTAACAGATGATATTTGATAATGGGTGAACTAAATCCAATGTGTTGTAAGGTTTTGTAATATGGTCATTTGTAATGTCACTAACAAATGATCAATTAACATAACCAACAAACAAGGGAAACTTCAACATTTTTCAGCCACAGAAACATCATCTGCACAATGTCAAGCTACTTAAAACTTTGTTTTATACCTTGACTGCAATAACCAATATTTCACATAAGTTTGTAAATGCAGCGATTTGGTTGGATTTGGTTTATCCTGTACAATTATAGATGTCTATGAAATGGTTCATGATTTAAATGGTCTGTAAAGAGGTTTTCTAAATTTTGTATACAAAATAGCATCAACCATTCCAATTTTCCATCATACGTCTGTGTGTCTTGCAATTCTACTAAAACTACTGACCTCACTATAGAATAAGCAGCTTTAGTGTTAGTTATATACAGTTAACCATTTCTATAATTTCAGGAACCACAGACAGAAAATTGGAATGAACATAGAAGCCATAAATGTCATAGATACACAGAAAAAGTTTAGAAAACCTCTTAACATTTCCTTCAATATTGTTTTTTGGAGTTGATTTCATCCTACAGCTCACACCCTCCTGAATTTTTCAGACTCTCAAGTTGATTCCTATTGCAATTGATGATATTTGATAATGGGTGAACTAAATCCAATGTGTTGTAAGGTTTTGTAATATGGTCATTTGTAATGTCACTAACAAATGATCAATTAACATAACCAACAAACAAGGGAAACTTCAACATTTTTCACTTACAGAAAGTTGAGTTTTACATCCATTTTATACAACATACAACATTAAGCTGATGATCATCTGTAACATCATGCAGTGAGCAATAAAGGGAATTTTTTTCAGATATAGGAATGAAATAGTATTTGTTTCCAAATCAAAATTGACAATTTTAAAGAATACTAAGCAATTCTAGATGTCTATGAAATAGTTGGTATATTCTAGCTACATTGTATTAATGGGATTCTGAAGGTGTATTTCAAACATTCTATGTGTATTAGATCCACTGATTTCGATTTGTACCATTCCAATTTTCAGTCAGGTTCTAGCAATTTCACTAAAACTAAGCATTTTATGATGTCAGTAAGGCAAATATTGCTAATACTGCTGTAGCCAAGCATCAAGCATTTCTATAATGTCAAGCATTTCTATAACGTCAAGCATTTTTATGACGTCAAGCATTTTTATGACGTCAAGCATTTCTATAAAATCAAGAATTTCTATAACGTCAAGCATTTCTATAATGTCAAGCATTTCTATAAGGTCAAGAAAATCTATAACGTCAAGAATTTCTATAACGTCAAGAATTTCTATAACATCAAGCATTTCTATAATGTCAAGCATTTCTATCACATCAAGCTTTTCTATCACGTTAAGAATTTCAATAACGTCAAGAATTTCTATAACATCAAGAATTTCTATATCGTCAAGAATTTCTATATCGTCAAGCATTTCTATAACGTTAAGCATTTCTATAACATCAAGAATTTCTATAATTACAGGAACAGCAGACATCTGACAGAAAATAGGAATGATGCAAATGAAAAAAACATAAATAAAATTATTACAGATGAAGATTTGATAATGGGTGAACTCAATCCAATGTGTTGTAAGGTTTTGTAATATGGTCATTTGTAATGTCACTAACAAATGATCAATTAACATAACCAACAAACAAGGGAAACTTCAACATTTTTCACTTACAGAAAGTTTGGCACCAACATAAGATTATATAAGGCTGATAATGACATGTGCCCTGCTATGCAGTGTGCAATGAAGACAATTTTGCTTCAAGTTTCCATATAGTTCATATTATATTGTAAAAAACCAGTCAGTTACCCTTTATCAACCTAAACTAATCATAAAGTTAAAATCATAGTTTAATCATTTTATTCAGAAAAGCATGTATATTCATTGACAAATATTTAACTTGCCGCTGATAGTTTCATATTTTGCCCATTAAGATCCAAATCAAGACAGAAACACAAGAAACAAAAGTAAAAGAAGATGTGAATCTTTTCAAGTTCATCCTTGCCTCTGTACATTTTTTGAGCACTATCCCATAATATTTGACAGTTCACAAAGTAAAGAAACTGAAAAATCTTCATTTGATTACAGAAAATCCTTAGGTAGTTGAACCATTCTTCAACCAATCATTCATCCACTTCAATACAAAAAGAACATCTCCTCTCACAAATCCATTATTGAACACATTTGAACCAAACTGGCAGTGACTCAAGCTAAAAATCTGAAAGTATCACTGATTATTTTCCACACTTTATCATGAGATGTCAACATAAAATTTTGATAAAAGGATTTCACGTTTTTCTCATCGTTATATTTCACTGTTCCAAAAACTGTTAACATTATTGTTTTATGTCCAGGTGTCAGTGAGTCTGTAAAAAGAATAAATGACATTACAATTACAGAATTTAATAATGTTATGCTGTGTTGAGATCATGGTAAATTGTTATACCATGCTAATAATGGTATTGCATCAAATAATGATGATTACATGATGTAATGGTGTGATGAGATAATGGTATAGTATCTAATGATGATATGGTGTGTTGAGATAATGGTATAGTATCTAATAATGATGATTACATGATGTAATGGTGTGATGAGATAATGGTATAGTATCTAATGATGATATGGTGTGTTGAGATAATGGTATAGTATCTAATAATGATGATTACATGATGTAATGGTGTGATGAGATAATGGTATAGTATCTAATGATGATATGGTGTGTTGAGATAATGGTATAGTATCTAATAATGATGATTACATGATGTAATGGTGTGTTGAGATAATAGTATAGTATCTAATGATGATATGATGTGTTGAATAGTGGTCATTGTTCTACCAACCTAATAATGGTACAGCATCTAAAATGTAATGGTGTGTTGAGATAATGGTATAACATCTAATGATGATATAGCGTTTTGAGATAATGGTACTGCATCTAATGATGTAATGGTGTGTTGAGATAATGGTACAGCATGTAATAATGTAATGGTGTGTTGAGGTAATGATACAGCATCTAATGATGTAATGGTGTGTTGAGATAATGGTACGGCATGTAATGATGTAATGGTGTGGTATGATAATGGTACAGCATGTAATAATGTAATGGTGTGGTGAGATAATGGTACGGCATCTAATAATGTAATTGTGTGGTATGATAATGGTACAGCATGTAATAATGTAATGGTGTGGTATGATAATGGTACAGCATGTAATAATGTAATGGTGTGATGAGATAATGGTGTGGCATGTAATAATGTAATGGTGTGGTATGACAATGGTACAGCATGTAATAATGTAATGGTGTGTTGAGATAATGGTAAAGCATGTAATAATGTAATGGTGTGGTATGACAATGGTACAGCATGTAATGGTGTGTTGAGATAATGGTAAAGCATGTAATAATGTAATGGTGTGTTGAGATAATGGTACGGCATCTAATAATGTAATGGTGTGGTATGATAATGGTACAGCATGTAATAATGTAATGGTGTGTTGATGTAATGGTTCAGCATGTAATAATGTAATGGTGTGGTGAGTTTATGGTACAGCATCTAATAATGTAATGGTGTGGTATGATAATGGTACAGCATGTAATAATGTAATGGTGTAGTATGATAATGGTACAGCATGTAATAATGTAATGGTGTGTTGAGGTAATGGTACAGCATCTAATGATGTAATGGTGTGTTGAGATAATGGTACAGCATGTAATAATGTAAATGGTGTGGTGAGATAATGGCAC